AAAGTACTTTCTTTTTTGGATTATTTTATATTTTTCTCTCCAGAAAAATCAAAATAGGTGTCTCGTAAGAACAAAAACTCATACCGGTACTAGGATCAATTGTGATACATGTATAACTAGCGATCGATTCGGCGAGGTGCGGTGCCTATATGGAACCCTGAACCGGAAGTAGTATAGGTGGCCCCAAGCCTGGAAATAAGACACCTGTCACATACAATTTCAGGCACAGATTCAGGTATTGTCAGGCACTTAACCTCTGGTGCCTGTCATTTTGTCCAGCACTGATTTGTCTTTTTTATTGATATTATTAATACATGTCCGACACCAAGTTGAAAATGTCAGGTACATCTAAAACCGTTATTTCCAGGCATGTAGGTGGCACAGAATGTATCATCTGCAAAGGATCCTACTAAACTTAGACTGTCTACAGACTAGTTGGCTTAGAGAGAGAGAGAGAGAGAGAGAGAGAGAGAGTACCTCGACACAAACTAGCTCATTTCGGGACTAAAATATGGTTCAATTTTATTTCAATAATTTGCTTGCGCGTAGGGGTCTTTAGCAGTGGCTTGAAACTGGAGGACCCGGAGAATACCCACGAGGCTGGACAGGCGACCCTACTCTTTGTCACGTACAAGCGGGGATTCGAACCCCCTACTTTGCTTGAGAACAGACACTAAACATGTATTACAGTGAACCTGTCTGAGAACAAACATTTATAGATTCATTTATAAAAGTTATTTATTGCTTAGTCAACGATATCAATATTATCAACATTACAGTGTACCTTGACTTGGTGATACACTGTGACATAAATATAGAGTGACCTTTAAGAGGCCGAGAGGCGGGGTTTCGATTCCCTGGTTGTACGTGGCAAGGAGTATGGTCGCCTGTCCAACCTCGTTGGTTTTCTCCCGGTCCTCCGGTTTCCTCCCACTGCAAAAGACCCCTACGCGCAAGCGAATTATTGAAATAAAATTGAACCATGTGTTAGTTACGAAATGCCTTAGTTTGTGTCGAGTGGACGTTAAACCCCATCTCTCTCTCTCTCTCTTAAGAGACCAAGAAATAAAGTGACCATATGGTTCCCACTTTATCTGGCATTTTATCGGACACTTCTCAGATGTGAACAACACTTCTTTCTGTTAAATATAGCATCACATCCCTCCTTCCTTGTTCTTGTCAATATAGTACATGTCGAGTATACTTCTATCACTGACATCTTGTACAACTACAAGGAGACAGTCTTTCAGATAAATATTGTCTTCGAGGACCGCTCGTACAAGATGTGTATCTCAGACTTTCTAATTACAACAGAGATAAGAATAGCTAGCAATACATTTCTACATTTCCTGTCCAGACATACCAATTGGGTTTTGATTGAAATGAGTAATGCCAGTTATTTTTTTGCTCAGCCTGAAGCATTGTTGTACTTTTGTTTTTTAAAATGACTGTAATTAAACAGATTCACTGGCTGGGTACAAATCTCTTTTTGTTATTTTACATTATTTTATTTGCATAGCGTTTTTTTGCTCTGTGCTGTAACACATTGTAAATTTGACAAGCAGTTTGAATATAGGTTAGCAATTTGAATACAAATTAGCAGTTTTGTCTTTAAGATAATGCTACCATACATGTATTTCAGCTCTCTATATTAAGATGCTGTTTCAATCATTTTGAAGGTGGGGGGGGAATAGCCGAATGGTTAGCGCATGTGCGTTGTATCATAAGGTCTGTTTTTGATTCCCCGGTTGTACGTGACACTGCTAAACCCCTTACGAGCAAGCAAATTTTTTGAGTAAAATTGAACCATGTGTTAGTCCCAAAATGACTTAGTTTGTGTCGAGTGGACGTTAAACCCCATTTCTCTATCTCTCTTTTCAACCATTTTGAAATATGATGTCATTTCAATCATCGAATATAGATGAGGAATTTGAACATGGGTTAGCAATTCTAGCATTTTCAACTATTTTCTTTAAAGATGCATTATGTAAGATTTAGACAAAGAGCTGACCATTCGTGCCACAATAGGTTCATAAATAGATAATGTCAAATGAATATATTTAAAATGTCATTCAAATTTCTTTATTCTGAGCAAAGTTATCAATGTTTGAAGATGTAGCGCAGATCGTTCAGTATCGTAGCAACAGTACTGGACAAACAAGACTAAGTCTCTATTATCCATTTTACCGTTAAAATTTTAAATCTCGCGAGCCTTCAAATCCATTTAAATCTCTGCCATCCGATGTATAGAGAGTACATTATGGGCGTGTCATGTTAAAGAGCGTAATATGCCTATTGCAGGTCTTTCTTTAGGCCTTAAATGTTACATAAACTATTATTTAGACATTTATTAACATGATAAAACTATAATCAGCTCCGATTTCAAGTAGATTGGAACGGTTTGGCTATTTAATTATTTAATTTAAAAACGAAGAAGTGAGGCTAAGCCTCAAATAACCAGCACCATGATTACAATAATAAACAATCAATGTACACGTCTTGTCAAAAGTACAAACATTGAATTGATAACATTGCTCAGAATAAAGTAATTTGAATGAAATTTTCAATATATTCATTTTGCATTATCTATTTTTGAACTATTATAGCAAGAAAGACCAGTTCTTTATCTAAATCTTACATAATGTATCTTTAATAAATGTCTAAATAATAGTTTAAAGTAGGTAAGTCTCTAAGTCAATATCACCTGAAGTCTTATACGTTGAAAATACAAATTATTTGTCAATTCAAATTAACATTGATGTTGTGATTTTACCAGGAAAAGGTAGGCTTCTGATATCCAATATTTTAGACAAAATAAACATTTTACCATTGGTACACGAATCGTTTACCATAGTGCGTTTCAGCATCAGTCATTTGTAACAAGTGGTCAGAAAGAACGAAGCTAGATATATTCCACAACTCATGTCAAATGGTGACGCTATATCTTACATGTATCTGGAGAGCCTCAGCAATAGACTGGAATAACCAGACGCTTGAAATTGCTATTTGGTTGAGACTCATGCCGTATTTTGCTGGGCATAACTGATTTGAAATTAGAGTCAAAACGGAAATGATTGAATGTAAATCAGTTTATATACAATCAGATTACATTATTATATGTGTTTCGACCCATTTTGGTCAGTTTCTAGGTCCCAAATATTAGCGATTTAGCTCCTTTAAATAACATTTGAAGCCAAATAAAGACCTGCAACAGGTAGATTTATTTTATGTGTCTTTAAGATATTCTATTTTTACTAGACCTATATAAAAAATGTTAGATTTACATATGTTTTATGTATATACCTGTATAAAAACTTAATGTGGTTACATTCATTGTGTAGCACACCTTGAAGATGATAGATTGATGTAGATTTTATGCATACAAATGTTTAAAATAAAAAAAAATATACAAAACAATTATAGTGTGGTCATATACCATGTACAAGTTCTTGCTACAAGTATATTAGAATGGATGTATCACAACCTGTAAATTGTAATTTTTAAATATTGATCGCAATTCTCTGGAATGCAATTACTGTTTATAACACGTTTTGACTAGGATTGTTAAATACAATACACTGGACTCAATTCTATGGAATATAATCACTGATCAACTAGGATTTTCTCATAGAATATAAAATGTGGTTGGACAAAACAGGTTTAACAAACTTTTATGGAGCCTTTAAACTGTAATGGGGGTTGGATGGCCGAATTGTTAGCACATGCGCGCTGTACCATAAAGCCTGTCATTGAGTCAACAGGTGTGGTTTCGAATTCCCGGTTGTACGTGACAAGGAGTAGGGTCGCCTGTCCAACCTAGTGTGTTTTCTCCGGGTCCTCCGGTTTCCTCCCACTGCTTAAGACCCCTACTCGCAAGCGAATTATTGAAATAAAATTAAAACCATATGTTAGTCCCGAAGTGACCTAGTTTGTGTCGAGTGGACGTTAAAACCCATTTCGCTCTCTCTCTTTAAACTTTAATGATAGAACGAAACTGTATATGATTTCAACTCATCTATCTATTGTTTTACCAACTTGTGATTGGACAATATATTTATACGTAAAACATACTTAATTAATGATGACCAATCAGAGACATCCCACTGATACGCCAACATCTCGGCATCAGGTTAAATAAGAAAGCAAGATTGTAATTTTCCCTCTAATTTGCATATTTGATTGAAACATGGACCAGTAATAAATTAGTGTAAAGCACAAATGTCACAGTGTACCCTCTAATTTGCATATTTGATTGAAAGGTCGTCCAGTAATAAAGTAGTGTAAAGCAAAAATGTCACAGTGTACATGATAATCAAGGCTATGTCATACACAGGTCACATTCATTCTAAGGAATACAATCAGTGCTTATTACTGGGCGATGTATCATTGATTGATAATAACTAGAGAAACCTAGTCCAAACATTGCTCAGTAATAAGCAGTAATTGTATTCTATAGAATTGTGACTTGTATATATCTAGTTCAATAATTACTAAATGAGAGAAAGAGAGAGATAGAGATAGAGAGAGAAACTAGGTCATTTCGGGACTAACATATGGTTCTATTTTATTTCAATAATTTGCTTGCGCGTAGGGGTCTTTACCAGTGGGAAGAAACCGGAGGACTCGGAGAAAACTCATGAGGTTGGACAGGCAACCCTATTCCTTGTCACGTACAACCGGGGAATCGAAACCCCATTAAGGAGTTCTCATTAGTTCCCTGAATGATCGACTACCCCACTAAGGATTTCTCATTAGTTCCCTGAATGATCGACTACCCCATCAAGGGGCTCTCATTAAGAGCTATAAGTATCCTTCGTTCTGTCTAGTTTCCATTTTCTTTCAATAACGTTATTTTGCTGTGAGCAACTCTATTTTGCTTTGAGAAACTGTATTTTGCTCTGAGCAACTTTATTTTGCTTTGAGCAACTTCAGTTTGTATTCATCATATGTACTCAAGACACTATGTCGCTTTAAATACTCCTCAATTTGACTAATTTCAGATGATTGAGACAGCATGGTGAATCTTTAAATATATGAAAAGTTAGAAGAAGAATACCAACGACGTTTGAACAACACAGACAAGATGAGTGGAATATTTCCGACTGTTGGTCCTGCTAGTGATTTGGATGTGTGTAACACTCGCATCAACAACAACCAAACAGAAACGTTGGTTATGTTTCCAAAGTATGCTGGAATACCGTTTAATTTGGTTGTGAATGTAGTTGTATTTCTGGTAAGTAAACATCTTCAATAGAAGATTTGATTTTGCTTTAATTACGTACATCTTATCAAGCCCTTCACGTAATACCCTGCATATTTCGGCACTAATTTCGATTGGGTACAAGTCCAACTTGTGAGCCTATCAGATTCCTTGATCGTTGCGAATACCAAGTCTCGCGCTTACAAGCTAAAATGTCTACCTGTGATAATCGAGTTGCAAAGTTCAAGGTTCATTTGATGTCAAGTTTTCTGTGTAGGTCGCGATGTCACAACCTCTGATTTGACTCTACTGCTCACGTTTCTGTAGATAACATAGCTATAAGTTCGGGAATTGTGAAGTAAACAAGCAACGTCCAGATGTTTTAAAACTCGCAGTCGTTGCTTCAGGAACATGGTAAATAAATGACACTGTCTGTCTGAAATGGACAGAGCAGGAGCCCGTGAGCATGACAGGCTCGGGGGCCCCATAAGAAGTTAATGTTCTCCCCTTGTGTGGGGTCCTTTTCTAGTTTAGGGACCCTTTTTGTCTTGGGCGTTGTTTTGGAATAATACCGGTAAGTAAGAGTGCAAAGCGCTAAATTTTTGCATAAGGTAGTAACATCAAGGTATACAATAGAAAGCACCAAACAGAAACATTGGTTTTGTTTCTGAACTATGCTGGAATACCGTTTAACTTGGTTATGAATGGAATTGTATTTCTTGTAATGTGGTCAATCAAAAAAGAGATTGTTTTTATTTTATTTTTTTGGAATAAAAATAGGTCATGTAATCTTGTTTATCTGAGAATCAGAATATTTTTTATATGTTCGACTGATCCTGATATTAATGTTCAACGGATTTATCCGAGTAAAATTGAATGGAGTATTGAATTTCACATGTAATAAGCCATAAAACCAGACAATTTATTGAGAATTATTCATTGAATCAGATCCCTAGCAACGTGCTGTCATGGTGAAAATAATCTTGATCAAATTAAACTATTTCCTGAATTTGGTTAAATTCATGCGAGAGAGAGAGAGAGAAATGGGGTTTAACGTCCACTCGACACAAACTAGGTCATTTCGGGAATAACATATGGTTTAATTTTATTTCAATAATTCGCTTGCGCATAGGGGTCTTTAGCAGTGGGAGGAAATTCGAAACCACGCCAGTCGACTCAATGACAGACTTTATGATACAGCGCGCGCACGTTAACCATTCAGCCATCCAACCCATCTTTAAATTCATGCATATTTAGCATTGAATTAAAGATACTGAGGCTAATAAAATATTTTTGATGGTATCACTGTAATCCAGCTATCATTTAATATTGTGTATTTAGCACAAGCTTCTGTCACATTCATTCAATATCAAATCCTTGTTTAAAAAATTTGTAAATATCGTTTAAAATCACCAAAAATCATCTAACTTGTACTCAGTACTCAGGCCCGTAGCCAGCTTGCTAGCTTCGGAGGGGCAGTGAAGAGGGAGGGGGGGCAAAACATTTTTTCGGGGCCTGCTTGTACTTGTGTCCAGAAGTTGGCCTTATGAAATAGATCTAGCAGTAATTGTATTCCATAGACTTGTAACCTGTGTATTCCAGTTTAATTACTAAATCTTGGGGGTCACGGTGGCTAAGTGGGTAAGATGCTGGCTTCCTAACCTGGAGGTCAGGGCCCTTATTCACGAAAACTTAAACTAAGATACAATTGAAATTTTAAGAAATACTGCAATTCGATTGGCTGACCAGTAAAATCAATTTGCATATATCCAATGAAGTTTCAGTATTTCTTAAAATTTCGGTTGAAACTTAGTTTAAGTTTTCGTGAATAAGGGCCCGGGTGTTCAATCCCTGCATTAGCTGAGAAAGTTTATCCAGATTTTCCGACGTTGTTCCCACTTGTCAGTGATGCAGGACAGAGGGCCTGAGAAGAACAGCTGTCTAGTCGTTCGGATGGCACGAAAAACCAAGGTCCTGTGTACACATTGGCGTGCACAGGAAAGGTCCCTTGACAGTTGGAATTCGATATAAGAGTAAGTCATAGTGCTGCTGTCCGAGCAAAATTTCTCTCATAGCACACTGTATGGCGTATGCCCGTCTTCATTAGCCCAGTATACACTGTAGGAGCAGAACAGTAGGACGTTAAACCCCATTTCATTTTATTTCATTTCAATTACATGTACTAAAGATACATTATGTAAGATTTAGATAAAGAAATAGTTGGAAAGTAGATGATGTAAAATGAATAATTTGAAAATTTCATTCAAATTACTCTATTGCAAGCGAAGATATTAGCCTTTGAAGGTTTGGCAGACGTGTGCAGTAATTTCAACCACCATACTGGTTGATCGAAGCTAAGTCTCGGTCCTCTATATTTGATCGCTGAACCATTCTAATCTATTTAAAATCAGAGAAATCTGATGCCATCGAGAGTTGATTAAGGCCTGGATCAGTTGATTAATGTCTAATTAATACTTTAGAAAACATTTCAGGCTTAAAGAAAGACCTGCAACAGGCAGATTTAGCTCTTGCATAATGTATGATTAAATGCCATTGAGACAATTTATGCATCTTTAATTTTCAGATTCTATTGATATTGTTTACTATCCTCCGGAGATTGGCCTGGGATTATGGCAGATTAGCGCTGGTCAGTCGTGCTGAAGAGAAGTAAGTTGTGTTTGTTTAATTTCTGTTGTAACCTAAGATTTTTTATCACTATATTTGTCGTTTTCATATTAGAAGTAAATCTATGTTGATATCTATATTTAGCATTAGTAAGCCGGATCTCTTTGATATTTAATTTTTAATATTGATTTGTTCAATTTAACTAATATCCTAAAATAAACAGTGAAATGAGAGAGAAATGGGTTTAATGTCCGCTCGACATAAACTAGGTCAATTTTATTTCATTAATTTGATTGAACGTATGGGTCTTTAGCAGTAGGATGAAACAGGAGAACCCGGTAAACATGTTCGTCTGTCTTTGATTCAAGTGAGATACGTTTTTGAATCTCCTCTTGTACGTGGCAAGGAGTAGTGTCGTTTGTACAACCTTGTGTGTGGGTTTTTTCCAGGTCCTCCGGTTTCCTCCCACTACTAAAGACTCCTATGTGCAAGCAAATTATTGAATTAAAATTTGAACCATATGTTAGCCCCGAAATGACCTAGTTTGTATCGAGTGGACGTTAAACCCCATTTCTCTCTCTCTCTCTCTCTTTTCATTGAATGTCAACTGCCAGGTCTCTTTTGCCTCATCTGAAAAGATATATTTTGATTTGAAAGATTTATAGATTTTTGAAATATTGAAATGCACCAAAATTGCTCTAAAGTTGATCGTTTAAACTGAATGAATATTTTAATATCATTCGACTTGTAAATTAGCTTTCGGTGTGACCGCTATTTTACCCATAGATCAAAGAGATCCAGCTCTTCTATTCCTGTAATAATTTAATGTATATTTATCAATTCTCTTGCTTGATTAGAAAAATAAAAAAAAACGATTTATTTAAAAGTTGTTGTAATATGTTCTTTTATTTAATGAATATAAATATAGTGGATTATTTTAGTGCTTTTTTAAAAGATACATTAGTTAAGAGTTTAAAGATACATTCTGTAAGATTTAGATAAAGAGCTGACTATTTTCGCTATAATACCTCAAAAGTAGATAATTTAAAATGAAAATATTGAAAATTTCATTCAAATTCCTTCATTCTGAGCCAAGTTATCACTGTTTTGACAAGTTGTGTGCCTCGCTTTCCCATTTTTAAATTAAATTTTTAAATGTCGAACCGTTCTAATCTAATTAAAATCTTGAGTATCCGATGCCATCAAGAGTTGATTATGGTTTTGTTTTGTTAATAGATGTCTAATTAACAGTTTATGTAACATTTCAGGTCTAAAGAAAGACTAGCAATAGGTAGATTTAGCTCTTGCATAATGTATGTTTAAGAAAGAGTTGGCCATTCTAGCTATAATAATTCAACAATAGATGTTTAAAAAAAAAAAATATTGAAAATTTCAGTCAAATTACTTTATTCGGAACATAGTTGTCACTATTGGAAGTTTGGACTAGAAATAGGCATCAACTGTGTCCGCACCGTCTCTGAGAATTGCCCATCATTTGATTGACAGGCGATAACTCCACCCACATATTCTCGATTTTCAAGTTGATTTTGAACTTGTCATATAAATAAAGGTCTAATTAATAATTTCTATAACATCCGAAGCCTACAGAAAGACTAGCAATAGGCAGATTTAGCTCTTAACTAATGTATCTTTAAACATCAGCTTTTTTATTTTAATTTAAAACAACACGTCCACACATTTATTATTATTAAGCAGTTTAATTTAATTTTAATTGTTGAATTTTATTTTTATTTGCTTAATTTTTTATTTTTTATTTAATGATGTTGTTTTTCACAGTGCTCCTGTAACTGGGTCCGAGAATCAGTATAATGTGTAGGGCACCATCTTATATTTTTATTATTTTATACCACCATTGTCTTGTATATAGTATTCTTAGTTTTTAGCAATGTTTCTCAACTGTTGATTGTGGAAGCCACAGTGGCTAAGTGAGTAAGACGCTGGCTCGCTAGTCTGTGTGTCGCGGGTTCGCTTCAGGTGTTGGCCGAGAAAGTTCATCAGGATTTTCTAGGTTGTTTTCCCCTTGTCAGCGGTGCAGAAGAAGGCCTAACAGGGAGAACTGTCGGATAATATGAAAAAGGAGAACCTGTGTACATACTGGCGTGCACGTAAAAGATCCCTTGGCAGTTGGAATTCGATAATATAAGAATAGGCTGTAGCGCCGCTATTGAGGCAAAATTTCCCTAATAGCACACTGTCCTGGGTAGTCGACATACGGTCCGTCATTGAGTCAAGTGGCATGATTTTGATCCCAAGTAAATTTGATAAGAAGATTTAATTCCTCTCTTAAATCAAAAAATTATTAATTTTTTTTTAAGAATTGAAGAAATTTGATTATATATTTATTTTATTGTTTATTTCGTATAAGGGAGCTTGAATGGCAGAATAGTTAGCGCGCACACGCTGTATTATAAGGTCTTTCATTGAGTCAACTGGCATGGTTTCGATTCCCTTGATGTACGTGACAAGGAGTAGGGTCGCCTGTCGAACCTCCTTGGTTTTCTCCGGGTCCTCCGGTTTCCTTCCACTGCTAAAGACCCCTACACGCAAGCGAATTATTGAAATAAAATTGAACCATGTGTTAGTCCCGAAATGACCTAGTTTGTGTCAAGTGGACGTTAAACCCCATTTCTCTCTCTCTGTTTTTTATAAAAAAAATGTCAGTAAACATTAGTTATATTGTGTATAAGAAAAGTGTCAAGAGTTCAGAAACATTGTTTCAGCTGTAGTTGTCTTTTAACCTTAGTTGTTTGGGGTTTGTAGGGTGTCTCGTCTTCTTTCCTTATATATATATTATATTCTGTATATTGGTTTTGTTTCGTCTTTCCTTTCATGTATGCTTCCTGTATCCTATCCTTTCCTAAAAAAACCAGATGTGACGTCATCCATTGATGTTGATGTACCATTATTTCAAATAATGGTATGTGCAATGTGTCAAGCGTACATTATTTATACTAGTTGCAATATTGGACACAAGGAACAATTTCATAGTGTCAGTATTCTATGTTGTTTAATAATCTTGAGCCAGGCATTGCATAATATCTTGATATAACACTCAGACTGATGTCCTCGTGCTGTATCAATATATTAATTACTGTCTCGCTGTCAACCATTAAACCAGGTGAACTATTAATAAAATTGACACCTAATGCCTTGAATCTCAGTCCTCTATATCTGCCTTTGGTACAAGCTATTCTCATGGATTGTTTCTAGTAGAATCTACTGGTACTTGGTGAATTTTTAACCTTGTTTTTAGTCATTTTGTGACAGCAGATGTTACTTTTGAAGAAAATGACCCAATGTCAATGTATGTTTCATATCAAAGAACAGACTTGTAAGATTTTTGCATAGTTGGTTAACGGAGCCATGGTGGCTAAGTGAGTAAGACGTGCACGTAAAAGATCCCTTGGCAGTTGGAATTCGATATATGAGTAGGTTGTAGTGCCACTGCCCGGGCAATATTTCCCTCATAGGACACTGTATGGCATATGCCCGTCTTCATTAGCCAAGTCGGTGCAGAACTGTAAGTGTTAAACCCCATTTCTTTTCATATTGTATTGTATTCTTTATTAAATTTTGAATAAGCAATTTGAGTACATTTTACAATGGATTAAGCTATTGAAAATTTAATATGTTTTCCGAAAAATACAAATGATGCAGACACTTTAATAATAATTGTGTTTCTATGGAAACAAATTTGACTTAGTTTTTGGTATACAAGGGTGCAGAATATCGATGACTTGCGTCTTCGAGTTAATAATTTTATTTTATTCAAGAAACATGCATCGTATCTCACAGCCATTTATTTTTGTTCTAACTTCGTTATAAATGTATTCCTTACAGATTTGCCACTTAAAATAGAAATTTATTTTTTTCAAACTTAGTTGTGGGAAAATTAGCAACATGTAATTGTAAAATCAATTCTCATCTGAGGTAAATTACATGAAAACCTCTCCACGATACTTGGCTTAAGACACAGTAAGCTTAAAGCCAAATACAAATTCTATAAAAAGAAAATGTCCATTTGAATAAGTTTGGTATGACCCGACAGACAAGTTAAAGTCTTCATAAATTAGATAACTTTAAACAAATTTATCAAAAACTTTAAACATACATTATGCAAGAGCTAAATCTGCCAATTGCAGGTCTTTCTTTAGGCCTGAAATGTTATCTAAATTATTAATTAGACATTAATTAACTTATACAGGCCATAATCAACTCTCGATGGCATCACTAGCCTGCGATATTTATTGGATTAGAAACCGATCTGCTGCTGCTGATTAAATCAAAAAATGGATATAATCGAGACTATGTTTTTTATTGTACCAACTTTAGTAACGATGATCGAGGCTAGGTTCAAAATTCAAAAGCTAAATTCTCAGTTCAGAGTGGATCAATTTTCAGCAAATTCCCTTTACATTATCTAGTTTCTAACTATTATTGTCAGAACTGCCAGCTCTTTATCTAATCCCCTATAATGTATCTTCAAGTAATCCAGGTACAAGGCAAGACATTCAGATATTGCTAACCCTTGGGTATCTATCGGAAAAATCTGAAGCTTTTAGTTAGAAAATAAAGTAATCCACCAATTTTAATCTAGTCACCATATTGTGTAGTTACAACAAATGATGAATTTGATGTTTAAATATTCAATTCAGTTGAAATTGTTAATTCTTTGAATCCTTTTTGATGCATCTATAAGCAAGACGGTAATTCAGAGGACAGTGTACTATGTGCATGAATTATATGTAGCACAGCCACTGCATCAGATAGTATTCAATTATATAATTATATTTTGATGATATCATTATATTTTTGACATTTTTGACATTTAATTTGAGTTCAAACAGCCTAAAATATCTCCAAGAATTCTGCCAAGAGTAAATCGTGAGAAAACCTTGAATCCAAGGATAATTTGAAAGAGAACTGAGATCAATGGGTTTATTTTTTAAATGAATGGCAGTGAAAATATTCATCAAGAATCTTGGTGTTAATAACATTTTGAGATCCTCACAAATTCCAAGGCTTTTGCTAATAAGACTTCCTAGGCCTTGGACTTTATTCTGGACCTTAGGCGTTACTCTGGGCATTGGGCTTTATTCTGGACCTTGGGCTTTACTCTGGGCATTGGGCTTTATTCTGGTGTTGGTTACTGTATAATAGGTTTCATATCTTATCAATGATTATTTTATTCTAAAAGATGTAATCTGTTCAGCTTTCAATCTAAACGTTATAATATGTAAGTATGTATATAGTATAATATTTGGTAGTCAGGTACTTATCCAACCTACTTCACTCTTAGAAACTCTTGTTTCCTGTTGAAATATCATCAGTAAACCACCCTACTATAACTTCTTTTAGGCCAACTGTAATATCATCAATGTACCTTACTATAAATAAAATAAAACCAAGTACAAACAATCCAAACCATAAGACAGAATTCGAAGTCCTAAAAAACGTTATAGGCAAAATAGTGTATTCAAGCAAAATAGTGTAATCAGCAAATGGACTGCTCCTCGTGTACAAAATACACGAGAAACAGTGGTAACAGGACTATATAACTTCTGTTTCCTATTGAAATATCCTCATCAAAACTCCCTACTAGAAATATCAACGAACCCCTCTCGCCCCTCCCCCTCCCCCCACTATAGAAACTTCTCTTAGATCAATTGAAATATAATCAACGAACCCGACTACTAGAAACTACATTTAGGCCAACTGAAATATTATCAACAACAACCCCCCCCCCCCCCCCACTAGAAACTACATTTAGCATATCATTGACACTTTGGCACTTGGACCGTCTCAAAGCATCCAAAAGTGGTGGTTCTTAGACCGCCTACTAAACTGCCCATGAATAGCTGTATTTGGTGGCCCCGAAGAACTAATATACAGTCCTACGGTATGGAAACAGGATTGGTTGGCCCAATGGTTGTATCATAAGGTCTGTCATTGAGTGATCAACTGGCGTGGTTTTGATTCCCTGGTTGTACGTGACAAGGAGTAGGGTCGCCTGTCCAACCTTGTGGGTTTTCTCTGGGTCATCCGGTTTCCTCCCACTGCTAAAGACAGACCCCTACACGAAAGCAAATTAATGAAATAAAATTAAAACATATGTTAATCCCAAAATAACCTAGTTTGTGTCGAGTGGACGTTAAACCCCATTTCTCTCTCTCTCTCTCTCTCTCTGCCCACTGTGTACATTTAGCAGTAAATCCATCTGCAAACATTTCCTATCGTGATAGAACAATCTAATTTATCATGTAGATTAGTGTTTCATGGTATTTATAGATGGTGAAGGTTAAGGAAAGGAATATATTATTAATGAACTTTGTATATAATTGTAGCAAGGACCGGAAATCTTCCATTGTTCTGTTCGTTAAATAAGAAGATTATTTTCGCTCAAGTACATTAATTGGAGTCTTACCCATGCAATAACTAGACATTTTCATTACTACTGCACGTACGCTTGCTGGTTTATGCCAGTTTTAGTAGAGTGGGTTTTCTGTGCAGTAATAACAAGCATGTTGAGCAGGTGTCAGTGATACGAGTCATTTATGACACACTTCATTGGTTAACAGGTTTAACATCTCAGCCTGACGACATGAGTGGTGTTTTTATAGACAGTCAAACTTTATATATAATTGTGACATGGACAGGAAATTGTTTTTCCTCTAGGAGATTGGCTGGAGCTTAAATGTAATTGCACACTTTTGCTGGTTTAGACTAGTTTTAGTAGAAATCATATAGAGAAGTGGGGTGGGTTTTCTGTGCAATAACAACAAGCATGTTGAGCAGGTGTCAGTTAATGTTACAAGTCATTTATAGCATGGCTTCTTTCATTAACAGGTTTAACACCTCGGCCTACGGCCTCTGGTTAAACCTGTTAACTCATGAAAGCTGTGATATAAGAATGTACAACCTGTAGAAATCACCATTTGATTCTATTATACTCTTGTTTTGGGTTAACACTGAGAAGTTTCTTGTCGTCGGACTTCCCCATCATCAATTTTTTTTGTTATTTTCTTTGAACCTGTAAACTTTAAAGCCACCAGTTTAAAAAAAACTGCTGGTGGGCATAGAATTAGTTAATGCCAGAAAATACCAAATTACAGACTCTGATTTTAAATACTGGGCCTGAATTAAATATGAAAAATAGCAAGGTGAACCTAATTTTTTTGTAGTCAGAACAAGCTACATTACATAAAAGTATTTGTAGTTGATGTCTATTAAAGAGAATGGAAGGTTATTAACGCTATTTCCTGAAGCTGTTAAACACTTCTGGTGACCTAATTCTGTCTTTCATTTACCCCAGCAAAAAAAATGTCAGACTAACAAAATTTTGAAATAGCATCCCAATTACAGAAAATCTCTAAAAAATGTTACCAGATTAAGTGAATGAATGTGGTAACTAGGTGACTGGGTTGCTTGCCTAACTTGCTTGTGGAGGTTATGAAAAGTCTAAATTTTAGAATGAATAATCTTTTTATTTACTATTTTGGATATGGTGTACTAATTTTTTTTTATTATAAATTTCAAGTGTGAGGTAATTGCTTGCCTAATAACAATGAATGATGTTTAATTATACCCACCATCAGACCTGGGTAGCGTCCTTACTGTGCTCCTGTGACCATACGACAAATGTTCCCAAAAATTACAAACTTGAAAAAAGACACACTCGCACAGCTTTCCAGGTCAGATCGCAGAAATTTGGCGTACACTCCGTGACTCGGCGACCATTGAGACCACAGCACGATATCTGGCATTTCCGCCACGCCTTTGGTGATCTTGATGCGCTCTGGGACCATTTTCCGTCACTGTAGTAGTGCAATAAGGACGCCACCCCAGTCTGACTGGAGTATTAGAAATACTCTGTAATGATATTGGCATTTAATTCTGTTATGATATTTATGATGGTGTGTTGCTAAAACGTGAAACAGAGTGCGGAACAAAACAGAACTATTGAGAAAAACTCTTAATTGCTTTATACATTGTTTCTATAATTTGTCACAATATTGTGTGTTATGTTTCAGAGACAAGGTTATTTAGTCTATCAGTCACTGTATGGATTTACTGTAAACTCTTTATTTTAAAGACACAGTACAAGCTTATAGAATATTAATTAAGAACACAACATTGCACAGTAATAAACCCAGTAATGTATATCAATAAAATTGTACCTTGTGTTAATATGTTCAATTACTATCAAAGAAGATATTAATAACACATGGTATTCTATTTTATACTGGTACCAATAATACTATTGGTATAGACATTCTGTCTAATAACATTAGTATTGTGGATTTTGTTTGAAAATTGCTAAATCTTTTTGCTATAATTGTATTCTACAAAATGTAAAAGCGACAGTGAGACTGGTCGAGAGCAGTACAATGATGAAGTTCAGGCTTTCTATAGATTTAGGATAACATGTCCAGTTTGGCTTGGTTTTTCTCTAGTTTTAGTACAAAAAAGAAATTACCGTGCAGTCGTTGTTTTTTTACAATGTGCTTTCGGTTTGGTACAGTTTTCATTTAATTCTTTTCCATTTATTTTATATTAAATTGTTTCAATGGCATTTAGTAATTGAACTGGAATATACAGGTGACAATTCTATGGAATACAATTACTGCTTTTTACTGAGTGACGTTTCGACTAGGCTTCTCTAGTCATTATCAAGCAATGATAAAATATGAAAATATAACAAGACAATATATACATGTACACAAAAATACTTGGTTAATTTGACCAACCAGAGACACCTTTGTAATTACTTTCAGGCTTCACTGTGCCTGAACTGACCCCTCCCCCCATAAAAACAATCATTTAACTGATAAAGAGTGAAAGTAGAATTATTGTCCCTGTTGTTGTTTAATACAATGAACATAAAAACCTGTCTGTTGTAACACCTGCTTCATTCTAGATATTTCGCATAATTAGAATATTTAATCAATTTATATAAACATAGTTATCAGAGATAAACTGTCATTCATAATTTAAAAACATTTAGTAAACCTGACTTGGATAATTATGACTATATAGATCAAGACTCTCTGTAATCCAGGTATCATTTAATATTGTGTATTTAGCACTAATTTCTTTCACATTCATTTAATATCAAATCTTTGTTTAAAAATTTCATAAAAATCACCCAAAATCATCTAATTTGTACTTTTGTCCAGTTTAAAGCTGACTGATTAATTTTAATAATCTGACCACTGTTAAAAAATTAATCAGTATACACGAATAATTAATTTGGTTGTTTATTTTTGAACAGTGGTCAGGAAATTAAACACTTGTAAATTGGACACTCATTATCAAAATTTAACAGTCAGCTTTAACTGGACACAATGATTTTAACAGTGATCGAGAAATTAAACGCTTGTAAATTAGACACTTATTATCAAAATTGAATGGTCAGCTTTAAACTGGACACAAGTGAAGGGCCCCTCGCTTCCATTTCAGGGAGGAGGAGGGGGTATCCAATCGGAATAAGTGAAGGGGCTGGCACTTCCATTTCAGGCGTGGGGCTGGGGCTGGCGCTTCCATTTCAGGCAGGGGGTTGGGGCATCCAATCAGGGGTTGTAATTAAAATTAAAGTTTTTAGAAATCCGAAAATAAAAATTTGCCCCCCCCCTCTCTCTCTTTCTCTCTCTTTCTCTCTCTCTCTCTCTCTTTCATGTTTCAGCAATAAAATGGGTTATTTTTGGTATATTTATAGGTGGACATCTTTATTTTATGGAGATAATGATAAAAGAAACCTTCATGGATCTCAAGAATCCTTTGACACGTCATTACATAAACAAGATAAGAACTTGTTGTCATGGATACCAGCATTTTACCGAGTAAGGTGAGTAACGAAGCAAATAAAATCAAGTGGAATATCGTGTGTGGACATTTGACTCATTTACTTCATCACCTGGATAACGTTGTGTAAATTATTCATTTGCATACGATATCCAAAGATAGAGATGACGGCAAGTTTCTAATTCTGTTTGGCCGTGCTACACCTGTCTTGTTAGTCACCAGATAAAGTAAGTGAAGAGCGAATGAGACATATGATATCCAAGGACAGTAAGATAGTGATGGAAGACAAGTGTCTATCCCGGGAATGATGGACGTATCTTGTTAAGTCACTAGATATCCTAAGTTAATGGAACATTTAATTTAATGTGGGGTGGGGGAGATTGAATGGCTGAATGGTTAGAGCGTGTATGCTGCATCATAAGGTCCTTCATAGAGCCAACTGGCTTGGTTTCAATTCCCCGGTTGTACGTCCAAACCTTGTGGGTTTTCGCCGGGTCCTCCGGTTTCCTCCTACTGCTAAAGACCCCTAAGCACAAGCGAATTATTGAAATAAAATTGAACCATGTGTTAGTCCCAAAATGACCTAGTTTTTGTCGAGTGGACATTAAAACCCATTTCTCTCTTTCTCTCTCCCTCTCGTTTCCTCCTGCTACTCCAAGCTAATTGTGGATAAAACTGAACCATATGTTAGTCCTGAAATGTCCTGATTGGTGTTTTTTTGTCTTTTTTTTCCTAGGGATTCTGATATTCTACATAAATGTGGTCGTGATGCTATACAGTATTTATCATTCCAGAGATATTTAATTATATACGTAGCTATTATATGTGTTCTATCTATCTGTGTTATACTACCAGTCAATTTCCAAGGAGATGTCTGTAAGTACCCACACCTCATTAATTTTTATTTTCTTTTATATGTAGCCAATAAATATAGATAACAAAATATCTATAGTTTTCTCAAAATGATGAAATATCTTAAATACCCATGTCTGATTTATTTTCTGTTTTCTTGTATGTGTAACCATTGCAATCTGTTACACTTTTGGGGTCTTTAAGTCAGGTTCTTGATGACAACACTGGTCTAAATTTCATATAATACTTTTATTCCTCTTTAACCATATCATGTACAAAACTTAAGACTCGGTAATTAGCTTGTGTTGAGGGAGCCGTGGTCCTAGTTTGGCTTGACACCCTTGGGTGCCAACTCCCAACTAACTTACAGGGCCGCTCTTTGGTCTTAATTCAGACGCTCCCACCTTGACTCAATAACCTCAGTTAGATTTCTGCTTATGATGCCTTTCTAGACAAAGAACAACGGAAGAGATTATGCAGTTGGCTATTTATTGCATCATAACTCAGGCCAGGGGTAGTAACTAATGACTTCTACAGGGCCGTTGACCTTGTCAGACCAGTGCCAGTGTCGACCATCTGTGGGTCATAATCTGATACGGTGTTAAGTGACATGTTCCCGAATAATGTCAATTGTGTAACAAATCCCTGCATTAGCTCCCAATTCAGCAAAGAATTAAGTTCAAAGTAACCCCTGTGTGTCTTCAAACCTTTAAGCACCCAAGCTCAATCTTATATAAAAAGTCTTGTCGAGCCCTCTACTACCAACAGAAATCTCTGTTCTCAGGATTATTTTCTAAAATCTTCAACTATTAACTTACAAATTTGTTGGCAGCTTGTTTCACTCAAGCTGCATAGATTGAATAAATTTCAATTTATCATAACTTTAAATAAAAACTGTACGGAATTGAAAACATTTTTGGACTAGTTTAAGTAAGTGCATTAGCATATGCATTAGCTAGAAGAACGTAGCTAAAAACGTTGAGATATACTGATGTGCTTGTTTTTAGCTACCATTGGGTGCCTTTAGTTTCACGTGGCAAAGTTGATTTTATACTGTTAGAACTAATTACACTATATACGCTGCCCAATCTACTGAAACAACAGTCATCTATCAGCAAATATTGACAATAAAGTAAATCAAGCGTTATTTTTTTTATCAAAATTGATACGGACATTCATAATTACGGTATATTACTCCTGTGCAACTCGGATCAAGTTAGTAGTACTTTGATTGGCTATTGTACATGTTGCCGCCCCTTTATGTGCTAAAGATGTCAAATTTAAAATGTCCAAGAAAGCAATCTATTATCACTTTGATTTAAAAAAAAGGGGATTTGTACCCTTGTCAGGTGGGATTTTCTGCTTAATTATCCCGCGCCGAACGAAGTTAGGGAGGGATATTGAAACGGGGTCCGTCCGTCCGTCCGATTTCGTTTCCGGAGCATATCTCATAAACCGTTCAAGATATCTTTATGAAACTTTGCACACAAATCAACCTATTACAGTAGTTGTGCCTTTTGCTATTTAGGAATTTCTGGGATTTATATTTTTTGGGTTTCCATGGAAAACAAATTTGACTTAGTTTTTGGTGTACAATTTTATTTCCGGAGCATATCTCATAAACCGTTCAAGATATCTTTCTGAAACTTTGCACTCACATCAACCTATTACAGTAGTTGTGCCATTTGCTATTTAGGAATTTCTGGGATTTATATTTTTTTGTGTTTCCATGGAAACAAATTTGACTTAGTTTTTGGTGTATAATTTTGTTTCCGGAGCATATCTCATAAACCGTTCAAGATATCTTTTTGAAACTTTGTACAGACATCTACTCATTACAGTAGTTGTGCCTTTTGCTATTTAGGAATTTCTGGGATTGATATTTTTTTGTGTTTCCATGGAAACAAATTTGACTTAGTTTTTGGTGTACAATTTTGTTTCCGGAGCATATCTCATAAACCGTTCAAGATATCTTCTTGGCACTTATTTTGAATTTCTCAGATTTGATAATTTTATGTGTTTCCATGGAAACACATTTGACTGTTCAAGATACCTTTAAAATAATTTTACCCATTATTTTATTTTCTGAAATCCAGCCTTCCGTCCTGATTTTGTTTCTAGAGCATATTTTATTATCTGTTCGAGAAATCTTTTTGAAACTTATTATAGTATTTTATTTTCTGATGTATAAGTTTATTGTTTAACATACAGCAGCTGATTGAGGTAGGCAAAGGTTGTCGTGCAAACCTTACAGGGAGTAGCGACCCTGCCTTGCCGAGCTACTGTGACCAGAGTATGAAATTCTGTGAATTGATATTCCATGTGTCGGAATTTGAGATTTGTCTAAAGAATTAGGCGTGCAACTGATGGTGCAACCCCAACATGCTGAACTACTGTGCTCAGAATATATAAATATTCTTACTAGTTGAAACTTTGAACACACATCATCCTATTACAGTAGTTGTGCCTTTTGCTAATTAGAAATTTGTCGGATTTAATAATTTTTGTGTTGCCATGGAAAAAAATTATCTGTTGAATGATTTTTACTACACATTTGAATTATTTTTTGGTATATAATTATTATTCTGGAGCATATCCCAGAAACTGTTCAAGATACCTTTATAACACTTTTACATTCATCAACCTATTATTTTATTTTTTGATGACCTTCCTTCTGTCCCGATTTCATGTGTAGAGCATATTTCATTATCTGTTCAGAGAAATCTTTTTAAAACTTTATACAAACATCAAACTATTAAAGTATTTTATTTTCTGATGTATAAGCTTAATGCTTAACATACAGCAGCTGATTGAGGTAGGCAAAGGTTGTTGTGCAATCCTTACAGGGAGTAGGGACTGTGCCGAGCTACTATGATCAGAATATGAATCTTCTGACTAGTCCCATTGATATTCCAAGAAGTTGTTTTTCCTTATGCCTTCAAAACAAGTTCAAGGGCGCGGGATGGTGATGACTAGTCATCTTGTTGTAATTGTATGCAGTAGAAATATTATAAGTAACAATAATCAATCATTGTTTTGATGAAAAAATTGTTGAATTTGCTTATTTGAAGCCAGATGTGATTAGTGTTAAATTGGAGGTTTGCCAGTTGAAACTATATAGCACCATCTCTTATCTCGAAACCATGGAGGGTTGAGAGATGAGGTTTCTTATCTGCATATCGTCGGTGAAGTGTCAAAAGGGTGTATCTCGGGAAATTAGTCAAATACACTTTTTTGCATTTTAAAATCTCCCAATTAATATGCACATTTCTGTCTAAGCTGTGTATCTCTATGCCGATTAGAACTGTTCTGGGTATTATGTGTCCAAATGTTGTATCTTGATTTGTGGAAATTTTGAAATGCAAAAGGTTCTATGTCTTAATATTTAGAAATTCTTAGATACACCCTTTTGACACTTTACTGACTATATGCATTAGTTTAGAATTCTGGTCTTTAAAATTGCAAAACCAAATTTGTTAACACATGATGAAGTGTTTAGAAGAAAGCTCTGACATATACCCGGTCCCTAGGGACAAGATATTGGGTGATAGCCAGGCAGTTTGCAGAAATATTATCTTGAACAAATTGTCTAACACCCACTCTCTTGCACTGGTAATGAAATTGCATATGTTATGACCAAAGGGAGCAGTTTATCGTGAAGTTATTCATTGAATATTGTGCTTGCGATTGTTGATGGATAAAGTTTCATCTTAAACTGAATTGTATCGTGGGACTATTGATCAGACCATCAAACGGTACAAAACATGCCTGTAATTATTCCATATATTGGCCATATTAACTGATAAAGGCACCAGGGACTATATAAGGCTACACCAATTTAAATAATTGAAGAGTCAAGGGGAAGAAAGATCTAAGTCACATTTTTGTCTTTTCAAAAGAGTTGTCTAGTCTTTTGAATGGGATGAAAAACCGAGGTAAAAGATCCCTTGGCAGTTGGAATTTAGTATAAGAGTAGACCGTAGTGCCGCTGTTTGGGCAAAATTTCCCTCATATATGACGTATGCCCATCTTCATTAGCCCAGTCGAAGTAGAGCAGTAGGATGTTAAACCCTATGGCGTATGCCTATATTCATAAGACCATCTGGAGCAGAACAGTAGGGCCTTAAACCCGATTTCATTTCATTTATTAATAAGAGAGAGAGAAATGGGGTTTAACGTCCACTCAACACAAACTAGGTCATTTCGGGACTAACATATGGTTTAATTTTATTTCAATAATTCGCTTGCGCATAGGGGTCTTTAGCAGTGGGAGGAAACCGGAGGACCCGGAGAAAACCCACGAGGTTGGACAGGCGACCCTACTCCTTGTCACGTACAACCGGGGATTCGAAACCACACCAGTCGACTCAATGACAGACTTTATGAAACAGCGCGCGCACGCTAACCATTCAGCCATCCAACCCCCCTTTATTAATAAGAATTAAATTGATAAGGCCTTAGTATTGATTATCTTCACAGGTCTCTATGTAGAGAGTAATTATAGACAACAAACAGGGAACCTGTGATGTATGACTTAATTCCGATGATTAACAAACAATCCTGACAATAGATACGATTAAAACTAATTAATAATCAATGATTATATAATGTATATATAGATGTTATTTATAGATTAATAATGGTTATAAGGGGAATAAGTCTATGCAATCCAGACTGATTTGTTGCCGTTAAACAGGGTTACTCCTACTAATTGTTGAATATGTATATTAAACATGCATTATGCAAGAGCTAAATCTGCCTATTGCAGGTCTTTCTTTAGGCCTGAAATGTTTTCTAAAGTATTAATTAGACATTAATTAACTGATCCAGGCCTTAATCAACTCTCGATGGCATCAGATTTCTCCGATATTAAATAGATACTTTGATTTAATCAAATATGGAGGAACGAGACTTAGCTTCGATCAACCAGTACGGTGGTTGAAATTATTGCACACGTCTGTCAAACCTTCAAAGGCTAATATCTTCGCTTGCAATAGAGTAATTTGAATGAAATTTTCAAATTATTCATTTTACATCATCTAGTTTCGAACTATTATAGCAAGAATGGCTAGCTCTTTATCTAAATCTTACATAATGTATCTTTAATTTATAAATTCTAACAGTTTATCAATCCGATGAAAACACAGATCCTATTTCTGGGGGTGGATGTCCAAATGTGGGTTGCATCATAAGGTCTGTCATTAAGTCAACTGGCGTGGTTTTGATTCCCCGGTTGTACGTGATAAGGGTTAGGGTCGTCTGTCCAACCTCATTGGTTTCCTTTGGGTCATCCAGTTTCCTCCCACTGCTAAAGACCCCTATATGCAAGCAAATTATTTAAATAAAATTGAACTATGTGTTAGTCCCAAAATGACCTAGTTTGTGTTGAGTGGACATTAAACTCTCTCTGTCTCTCTCTCTCTCTCTCTCTCTCTCTCTCTCTCTTGTCAAATTCCTTCATTGATGCGCATGAAGTGTCATGGTGTCGACCCCACATAGTTTTTATGTTCCTAATACAGTGTAGTGCCAAATCTTTCTCTCCATGGTTGTGTTTATAAATGTATAACAATATGGCAGCTAGCTGTGTCCAGACCAACTTTCTGTAGAGTTCATGGATCACCCTAACAGTGTAGGGCCAAATCTCTCTCTCTCTCTCTCTCTCTCTCTCTCTCCATGGTTGTTGTTTATAAATGAATAACAATATGGCAGCTTTTAACCAATATTCACGCTTTGTAACGTTATTTATCCATAATGATCTTAATCAATATTTATTTTTATTCTAGTGGGAAACGCTACAGAGTTCAGTCATACAACTATTGGCAATGTACCAACCAAGTAGGTCATTTATCATTATAATATCAATAATTATGAATTAATTCATCCAGAACTATGTAGTTAATTTGAAAGAATAATGTAACAATATTTCATGAAAGTCGTTTGATTGTAATGTAATTAATGTCAAACTTATAACTTCATACCCCTCTTGTCAGTGTATAGGATGGAGGGCCTGGAAAGTGATAAAGTAGCCGATGTCTTGTGTACAGTTGGAATTCGATATAAGAGTAAGCCGTAGTGCTTCTATCCAGGCAAAATGTCCCTCATAGCACACTTTATGGCGTATTCCCGTCTTCATTAGCCCAGTTTGGAGCAGAACAGTAGGGTGTTAAACCCCATTACATTTCATTTATTATGCAGATCAAAGATGTACTGCCATTTGTTTTTTATGATGCTCACATCCCTAATACTTGTGGATTGAACGGTAGGATATCCTGCTTTACCACTCATACAGTCCGGTGCACAGAAGCAAATTATTGAAATCTATATAGTCTAGTGGACATTACCCCCCCCCCCCATTTGTCAATACTAAACAGGTTGTGGAACATCAAATCATATTTTATGAATCGGGATCCGACCATGACATCATAGCAGCCATTGAATTCTGTAAATCGATGCACATTTGTCCAAAGAACCAGCATGCTCAGCTTCATTTCGATCATACTGGAATTGGCGGAGCCCCTAGAACAAAAAAATCAACCAGTTCTTGTTACTACGACAATATTTTATGTATGGTTTAATGGTGGAGAGCAAGACATTAAGTAATAATATTGATAATGCACAGGAACGTTAGCCGGAGTTTTGTTTCAATATATTACGGAATGTCCTAAGCTCGAGACCATTAAACAACTTAAAATCCAGATACTCCGCACATATTTTTCAATGAAATATATCACTTGAGTCCAATTTTTCATCTAGTATAAATAATAAACGATTGACACATTGCCTGTACATTATTTGAAATAACGATACAACATCAAAGGATGATGTCACATCTGTATTTTAAAACAATATAATTTTGATTGTATATTTTCAGTTCACCTCTACAATGGGTACATGCTGTGTTTTCTGTTATTTACCTGTATTTTAAAACAATATAATTTTGATTGTATATTTTCAGTTCACCTCTACAATGGGTACATGCCGTGTTTTCCGTTATTTACCTGTTAATTGTCGTTTTTATTGTTCGTCATTTTCACGTTAATTTAGAGTTTGAAGAGGATGAACAAGTAAGTGAAATAAATTATTTTTCATTTCTTAATGACCACCAGAGTTATGGCTCTTGATAGTTGTCATCCTATTGACTTTAAATTTAGACACACTGTTTAACCCATTTTTGACAATAGCGAAACAACTCGCACCAAGTGACTCACGGTAGCGAATCAACTCGCGGACCCATCATTCTTGGCAACGGCATTAGCGAACAAAAGCGCCAGATCAATCAACAGATTTCTATTGTGTTTATTTCATAAATTAATGGTAATTGAGTAATAAAAATAAACCACCCAATGGCAAGGAATGTTATATTCGCCAATTATTGAATAAAAAACATACCTTTCAACAAAGGATCTTCCAGTATTTACGTAATAGGTCAGAGATGAAAATTCACACCGTGTCAATGACTTTGGCAGTATTCCAATATTTTCACGTTGTCAATTACGGCTAATAATTTTATTATATAAAGAGTGAAATGGAATCAGATTTTTTATGATTTACTGCCGTTATGATGCGAAGAATACGGATACTCGAGCCGAGATCCAGCTTGTCGCCGCCATCTTGGATACGGTACGCTTTCAAACAGACGATAACACAAAACTTACGGCTAATAATTCTAAATTGGAAAACTAAATTGAATCAAAACTTTTGGGATTTAATACAAGCTACATAGAGATTGTCGAAGATTTCAACTATATATTTTTATTTTTGACGCAATAAAGCAAAGAAGACGACCATATATCCAAAGAAAGGCAGAAATGTTGAAATGCCGATAGCGATGAAGTGACCGTCACTTGGGGTGATATTTCTTTTTAAAAGTTATATTTACATTTACTTTGAACACTGCTGCCACCGTGAGGGACTATATTTGTGTTCTATTTTTAAAAAAAAATTATTAGGGGATACTTGTTCACGTTATTTTACCATTATGACAGAAAAGTCATAATTTTAGTGGAACTGACTTTTCAATGTTATTTATAGTAATATAATTTCTACTTTGTAAAATTGAATTTTATATCATTGGAAAGAAACGACAATCTGTACATTTTTGTAACAGAGTATTTCTATGTATAGAAAATATATTTTTAGTTATTTGCAATTTTGTAGAGGGTATTAGGGTTAACAATAATCCACTAGCTAATCTTTTAATTGGATCAGGGTCAAATGGGTTAAGAGCATGGATTGTCTACGATTTCTGATAATTTGATTGAACAGCTAAATTCATGATAGTAAATGTTTTATATACCAAACATTAGCATGTGGCAGAATTTGAAGACTGAAACATACATTATGCAAAAGCAAAATCTGCCTATTGCAGGTCTTTCTTTAGGCCTGAAATGTTATTTAAATTATTAATTAGGCATTGATTAACTTATCCAGACCATAATCAACTCTCAATGTCATCGCTAGCCTGCAATATTTACAGGATTAGGATCCGATTTGCTACTCAACTTTCATTCATGATTTAATCATGAAATGGATAATCGAGACAATGTTTTTTTATTGTACCGACTTTAGTAATGATGATTGAGTAGATCAATTTGACTGAAATTTTCAGCAAATTCCCTTTACATTATCTAGTTTTTAACTATTATAGTGAGAACTGCCAACTCTTTATCTAATCTCCCATTATATATCTTTAATTATATTTTTATTATGAAATTTATTCTTATATTTCATCAGGTATCAAGAACATTATTCATCTCTAATATACCTAAAAATAGATGCTTCCAGAACCAACTTAAAGAACACTTCCAGTAAGATATTTATATATTCCTATTAAAGCTAAATAATCTCTATTACATATGGGTACGGGACAATTCGTCCCCTGACAACTTGTTCCCGGACTATTCGTCCCCAGACAATTTGTCCCCGGATAATTAGTCCGCAAATTATGATCAACAGATAATTCTAAAGAAATTGTCACATGGAAAACAAGTCACATTTGAAAATGAACAATCTGTATTTTTGTCAGTCTTTTAAAATATGCTGGGGGTGCGGGGCATGGCTGTTGGGTAGTCGAGTGATTCAACATGTGCGCTTTAGATCATAAGATATGTCATTGAGGCTTGGTTTTGATCCCTAAAAATTTGTTGCAAAAAAGATTGAGTTGCCTATCTAGCCTAGACCCCTACACACAAGCGAATTATTGGAATAAAATTGTATGATATGTTAGTCCTGAATGACCTAGTTCATGTCTAGTGGATGTTAAACCCCATGTCTATCTAATATTGTGGCGTGGTTTCGAATCCCTGGTTGTATGTGGGTCGTCTGTCCAACCTCGTGGGTTTTCTCCGGATCCTCCGTTTTCCTCCCCCGCAAGCGAGTTATTGAAATAAAAAATTAAAACCATATGTTAGTCCCGAAATGACCTAGTTTGTGTCGAGTGGATGTTAAACCCCATTTCTCTCTCTCTGGAGGTCTGCCATCTGGATTTAAAGTGAAAAGAATGGACCACTCTAATGTGGGCACTACAATGTCACTTTTTTGGTGTATCTCTGATATCCTACCTTGTGATTCCTGCAATATCAAGAGTTGTTGACTGAACATAAATAAGTAAAGGAGCTACAATGTCAAAGCCGGAAAAACTGGACACTCATTTCAAGTAAAGGCTTCTTGTATTGTGGCACTGCAATGTCACAGCCTGAAAAACGGACACTGATATTGTGGCACTACAATGTCAGCCTGAAAAACTGACACTGATATTGTGGCACTACAATGTCATAGCCTGAAAAATGGACACTGATATTGTGGCACTACAATGTCATAGCCTGAAAAATGGACACTGATATTGTGGTACTACAATGCCAGGACTGAAAATCCTGCTGTTCAGGTAAAAACTAGAATATGAATCGATACATTTATAAAAAATTTACTGATGAAGTGAGTGAGCTGATGTAAAATTATTATTTTTTTATATTACAGTGAAGCTTACCCTGAAGTATCTGTTGATGATATACAATTTGCCTATAATATAACTAAACTTGTTCAGTTGGACAAAAAAAGGTGAGTACGGTTTTAAAATATCTCTCTCTCTCTCTCTCTCTCTCTCTCATTTCACAAGGGAGCCATGGTGACTGGTAGAAAATGGTGCTTACTCACTAACCAGGAAGTCGTAGTTGAATCCACATTATTTTCCAGTCCAGATTTACGGTGGTGCAGGACAAAAGGCCTGGCAAGAAAAAACGTCAGTTGAGATCATGTGTATTCCATTCAAAGCATGTTAATAATCCCCTGGCAGTTGGAATTCGATATAAGAGTACGTCGTAGCGCCACTGTCCAGGCAAAATTTCCCACACAGCACACTGTATGACATTTACCCGTTTCATTAGCCCAGTTTGTGCAGAACAGTAGGATGTTAAACCTCATTTCATTTCTTTTTATCCAGAGAAAGAGCAGCAGAGGCTAAACTTCATTCTACTAATGAACTATCAACAAGTGGTACTAGACCGTTAATGAGACCCTACCCATGTGGTCATCTATGTGGTTGTGATTGCTGTGGTTGTAAACAGGTTAGTGGAACTGCTTTGGGTTTTATCATTTTCGGTGATTCAGTGCGAAGGCGCTGGCTCGCTAACCTGGATGTAGAAGGTTTGATCCAGAAGTTGGCTGTGAATATTTTCTTGATTTTCCCGCATAGTTTCCCCTTATCAGTGGTGTAGGGCGAGGGCCTGGCAAAGACCAGTGTCGAGTCGTTAGGATGGGACAAAAATCCCACTGCTATATTGTTGTTCGCAAACATATCAAATCTGATTGAATTCAAACTGGGAGATTATTTAGTGTTGGTATTTTTTATACGCCCACATTTTCATGTGGATGTATTTTGCTGTCGCCCCTGTTTGTCCGTCCGTCCACAATTTAGCTTGTGGACACTATAGAGGTCACAATTTGATCCGAATTTGATGAAACTTGAAATATGTCTTTATAACCCAAAGATCTTGGTTCCTTTCGATATTCGCACATATATCGGATTGTAACTTCCTGAATTATGTCCCTTGATTGTTCGAAAAATTACTTTTTTTGTTTATCTTGTTCTCTATCCATCTATTGCAAAATGTGGGCGTATCCTGCCTGGCAGCCGCTGGTTAAATTAAATTGTAAATAACCAATCTGGGTACATATATTAGTGTGGATTAAGCCGTGAGAAATTTAATATTTTATTGGGAAATGCAAATTGTACAATGGGACTTTAAGTGAGGAATATTCAAATAGCCTCTGTTCATCCCATAAACCAATATGATTAAAATACAGATCTATATTTTGTTTCGTTTTTTTTTATACTTTCAATGTTATACTACATAAAGATCTGACTGGTTGTAGTGATAGGTCGCTTCAGAGGTCATATGAGCGGCTTTTGACCCTATGATGTCAGACATTCGATTAACTAATCAGCATTGATGTTACTAGTGGATTTCCTACAGTTCTGTGTAAAACACGTCTAAAGCCCGCCGTAACAGACCGTTTCATTGGCTAATCCCTCACACCATTCAGAATACGTCAACGATAACAACTCATCCAGATCTTAGTGTAGCTAAGACAAGTAAAACAAAATTTTGAACAATAAAAACGAAACGAAATAGGATCTGTGTTTTAATCAGATTGCTCATAAACCATTCAAGATATCTTTATGAAACTTTATACAAACATCGACCTGTTATAATAGTTTTGCCATCGGGTAATACGGACCTTTCGCATCGGTACGAAAACCTCATCGATTTGTGTGTACTTGTGACGTCAATCAGTAATGAGTGTTTGGCCAGTGAAAAACGTTACGCGTATGGAGCTGGATTTAAGTTGGTATGCAAACGAATATATTTCTTGTCTCATATATTGAATTTTCCACCATTTTTCGAGCCTTTGTGTATATTGTTGATTTTGTAGAGTTTGTAGAATGTGCTCAAAAGCAATATTCTGCTTGATTTGTTGTACACTTGATTGAAAACTTTGATTTGACATAGAAGTTCATGGAGTGGAAATTAACGCCATCTAGCTATTATCGTACGTCGGATCGCGAAACTGTGTGTTAGACAATACGAAAACGTAAACGAAGCTATGTTCGTTTTCGTACTGATGCGAAAGATCCCTAATAAGAAATTTCTCAGATTTAATCAATCTTGTGTTTCCGTAGTATACAAGGGTACAGGATATTGATGACTGAATATTCTTGTTGATTATGTTATAGGTTGATGCTATGGATTATTATACAGAGAAAGAAGAAAGATTAACTAAACAATGTGAAAAAGAGAAAGTAAATGCCTATCAAGATCCTATTGGCATTGCTTTCGTCACTTTTCAGTCAGAAGGGATGGCCGAAAAGTAAGTTTTTATTATTTGCTATCCCATGTCGTACCGAAGAAATGGGCGTTTTAGATTGTTCTGGGTTTGTAAAGCGCTACAGAGCAGTCAAACTTACGGAATGTTCACCGTTATAGAAAATTATTATTATTTTATTTTTAGGGTTCGAACTGACTTCCAAAGTAATGTTCAGCGCTATAGAAAATTATTGTTGTTTTATTTTCAGGGTTCGAACTGACTTCCGAGCTAACTGTAAGGGTACACACAATCCTCAAACTTCTGGAAAGTATTTAGAATTGGCTGTTCAAGACTGGGAAGTGAAGTTTGCTCCAGCACCAGATAATGTATACTGGTGAGTTTTAAAATCTATAAGTTTAATAAATCAACATTCCAACAAAACAGATATAAAATAATGATCATCGGTGAAAACCAAAGGAATGATAGTTCTCCATAAAATCTCTTGGGTCAGGTCCGTCAGTCCTGGCGTTCTAACGTCCACTTCCACCAGGAGTGATATCGTATCAAGGTTGGGTCAGAGGCAAAATCTGTAATTCTACGACAATAAAGCCATATTGTTAACAATCACAAATTTTGTTAAAGCGGGGGGACACACTAGCCGAATGATTCGGCTGAATCAATCGGTGTCGAAATTCGCCTTGTGTGTCCACTGTCATTCGGACAAATTTCTATTCGGTCTAATGATTCTACCGAATCAAACATGTTTGATATATTCGACGGAATTATATTCGCCTGGTGTGTCCGCTTTGTCAAAGCATTCGTCCGATTGTAGAATTCATTAGCCAATCACCACTCATTATCCACTCATATTGAAAAGTCATGTGATTGTTTGAAGACATGGATGCCGCCATGTTCAATCATGTGACATGATTCGCCTGGTGTGTCCACCCATTTGGCCGAATAATATTTGGTGCCGATTGATTTAGCTAATGTGTCCACCGCTTTACAATCAAGCAATGTGTATTCCAGTTAGATAATGACCAGAGAAGCCTAGTCGAAATGTTGCTCAGTAATAATCAGTAATTGTATTCCATAGAAATTATGACCTGTATATACAGATCAATTACTAAATGCCATTGAAACAATTTATGGTAGTGTTGAAGGAACTTTATAAATTTTGAGAATCAGATCCTTTCAGCAGTGTTTATGGACTTGTTGTATTGTATTGGAGAATCTGGCGACACCAGCAGTATTAAAGGGCTTGATGTATTGTTATTTTCAGGGAGAATCTAGCGACACCTGCGTGGAAATGGTGGTTAAAGGCGATTATAATTAACAGTTTGTTATTTATATTATTATTTTTTCTAACAACACCAGTCATGTTGATGAATGTAATGGACTCCTTTGATTACACAAGTAAACTGGATGAACTACACGTAAGTCTATATTAATGTATCCTTTGATTACACAAGTTAATTGGATTACATGAGTAAATTGGATGAACTACACATAAGTCTATTTTAATATGTCCATTGGACTTTTAAAGAAATGGGGTTGAACTTTTCTACACCAGTGAAGAGGTGCAAATGCCAAGCATTGTGCTAATGAGGGATATATTTTCATATCTACGTTTCATTGGTTTCAAACTATCAAGGGTTCTTTAATGCGTTCATCAGACTTTTAAAGTAAATTGGGGTCACTGTTGCTAAGTGGGTAAGATGCTGGCTTGCTAGCCTGGAGGTTGGGTGTGAGAGAAATTTTGTCTGGGTAGCAGCACTATGGCCTACTCTTATATTGAATTCTAACTGCCAAGGGATCTTTTACGTGCACACCAATGTATACACGGGACTTCGGAAAATCCTGATGAACTTTCTTGGGCAATTCAGGCCAGCATCTTACCTACTTAGCCACCTTGGCTCCCGACACATGTACACAGAAATGAAATGGGGTTTAACGTCCTACTTTTCTGCTCCGACTGGGCTAAAAAAGGTGGATACATGTAGAAAATACAATTGACAAGGTTAACACTATGTTTATTTTATATTTCAGAGTCCGCTACTGGTCCAGTTTCTACCTACTATATTACTGTGGACGTTCTCAGCCCTTCTACCAAATATAGTCTATTATTCTGATCAGTATATTGGCCATTGGACCAAGTATGTTCTTATTTTACTGTTTCTAACTCTATCAGGACTGTGCTTGAAAACGACAAGAGAATCATTGTAGAAATGTAACTCTGATTAAGATACGGCCTACTCTTTTTTTGATTTCCAACTGTCAATGCGGGGGGGGGGGGGGGTGGATGGCCGCTTGGTTAGCGTGTGTGCGCGTTGTATCATAATCTCTGTCATTGAGTCAACTGGCGTGGTTTCGATTCCCTGGTTGTATATGACCACGAATAGGGTCACCTGTCCAACCTCATGTTTTTTCTCCGGGTCCTCCGGTTTCCTCCCACTGCTAAAATCTCTGTCTCTCTCTCCCACCCAAATGTCATTAGTTCTTTTACATGTACACCAATGTGTGCACAAGACCTCAGTTTCTGTCCTATCCGAAAGACTAGACATTGTTCCATGCCAGGTCCTCCGTGCTGCACCACTGACATGGGGAAATGTTGGTGGACTATATCTGGTAATAGTATAAATGTATGGTATAAATTGTTTATTTCAACAGGACTGGAGAACATCATGTTGTGATGAGGAAGACTTTCATATTTTTATTATTAATGGTGCTTATTCTACCTTCTCTAGGACTTACTAGGTGAGTTTATTATATGTGTGTGGGGGGGGGATGGACGGACGAATGGTTAACATGTGTGTGCTGTATCATATGATCTGTCATTGAGTCAACTGGCGGGGTTTCGAATCCCAGGATGTACATGACAAGGTATATTGTCGCCTGTGCTGTGTGAGGAAATTTTTCAGTGCAAATGACCTCATTTGACCTTTGACCCCAAATATCTCGGAAACGTCTCAACGGCGGACTGATTACCACTTGGCATCGTATTCTACTCAAAATTTTACTCTAGAAAAGTTGGGTCTGGTTTTGTGCCCATTTGATGGACACCGCTCCGCACAGACAACTGGACAGCAAGCTTTTTTTGCTATGCTTAATCGATTTTCAAACGTTCTTTTACGTTTACACCAATGTATACAAAGTGGATCTCCATATTTCATCCCAAACAAATAATAATAATAGTCATGACTTTATTTAAGAAGGGTTGAAAATTAGGCTATAATATCCATTCTAATATCCTGCTAGGCCTACAAGTAGGGGAGGAGTTTAAAGACAAAAGAGACTTTTAAATAGATTAGAACAGTTCAGCCATATTTTGATTTAAGCTAAAAATGGAGGAGCTAAAAACTCTATTTTAAAGTTTTCAAATTTGAATAATACATTGTTCACAAGGCTCAGAAGAACTAATGATTAAGTATAAATTTTATATATGAATTCTTATTATGTTGTATTTCATTGCTAAGGCCTTGTTTTAATATTGTCATGTTATATTTCAGTGCTAAGGCCTTGTTTTAATATTGTCATGTTATATTTCAGTGCTAAGGCCTTGTTTTAATATTGTCACGTTATATTTCAGTGCTAAGGCCTTGTTTTAATGTTTTCATGTTATATTTCAGTGCTAAGGCCTTGTTTTAATATTGTCATGTTATATTTCAGTGCTAAGGCCTTGTTTTAATATTGTCATGTTATATTTCAGTTCTAAGGCCTTGTTTTAATATTGTCATGTTATATTTCAGTGCTAAGGCCTTGTTTTAATATTGTCATGTTATATTTCAGTTTTAAGACCTTGTTTTAATATTGTCATGTTATATTTCAGTGCTAAGGCCTTGTTTTAATATTGTCACGTTATATTTCAGTGCTAAGGCCTTGTTTTAATATTGTCATGTTATATTTCAGTTCTAAGGCCTTGTTTTAATATTGTCATGTTATATTTCAGTGCTAAGGCCTTGTTTTAATATTGTCATGTTATATTTCAGTTCTAAGGCATTGTTTTAATATTGTCATGTTATATTTCATTGCTAAAGCCTTGTTTTAATACTGTCATGTTATATTTCAGTGCTAAGGCCTTGTTTTAATATTGTCATGTTATATTTCAGTGCTAAGGCCTTGTTTTAATATTGTCATGTTATATTTCAGTGCTAAGGCCTTGTTTTAATATTGTCATGTTATATTTCAGTGCTAAGGCCTTGTTTTAATATTGTCATGTTATATTTCAGTGCTAAGGCCTTGTTTGAATTGTTTGTTATAGAGAAAGGACATAGTATTCGCTGGCAGTAAGTACTATGTTTTCATGTTGTTAGTCGATCAAGAATTATCTGGAATTAAGTAGTGGATATTCTAGGTTTGGTGTACGTGGGGTTACTGATTTTCACTCCATCCAAACGTCAAACGAGACCAGTAATTCACATAATTATTTTTTCTATTAATATTAACAGAAATATTGATGAATCAATCTTACAGAAAGTCGTTATTTGGCCGTTTTCGGCGTAATTTAAAATCAACAACTGGTCATTTTGATTAAAGACACTTATATGGGTTTACTACTTCTGAATTTATTAACATGTTACGTTTCGATACACATACAGATATAGATATCAAGCAAATGTTTTCATCACTGACAAAAGAAAAAATATGGGGCATCCCTTGTTGACTCCTCAAACAACTTAGTTGCTGCGGCTGTATGTTTCTTTACCTGGCAACCTATCTTTATATGATTTCAGGTGTATGTTTTTAGCTGGTAATGGTGCTTTCTTCGTTAATTATGTCATCACCTCTGCTTTCATTGGTTCCGGCTTAGAATTAATACGATTCTCTGAATTATTCACCTATACCATACGCTTGATGTGGGCTAGATCGGCTGCTGAACGTAGCGCTGTTAGAAAGGTAAGCAGGCTTATCAAACTGATTAGGCTCTTATCAAACTGATTAGGCTCTTATCAAAACTGAATAGGCTCTTTTAAAACTGATTAGGCCCTTAAAACTGATTAGTCACTTTTAAAGCTGATTAGACCCTTTTAAAACTGCTTAGACCCTTTTAAAGCTGATTATGCCCTTTTAAAACTGATTAGACCCTTTTCAAACTAATTAGGCCCTTAAAACTGATTAGACCCTTTTAAAACTGATTAGACCCTTTTAAAACTAATTAGGCCCTTAAAACTGATTAGACCCTTTTAAAACTGATTAGACCCTTAAAACTGATTAGACCCTTTTAAAACTGATTAGACCCTTAAAACTGATTAGGCCCATTTAAAACTGATTAGGCCCTAA